CTATCCTATCCTATCCTATCCTATCCTATCCTATCCTATCCTATCCTATCCTATCCTATCCTATCCTATCCTATATATATATATAAAACAAACAAACAAATAATATAGTAAAAACTACTAACAACCAACCTGCAGCTATAAAATCAGCATATTTTTAAAAGTTTTAACCTGGCCTTAGATTTGTAGTGCTGGTTTATTTTCTAGAAATTTCACACCATTCATTTTTCTGCTTCTGAAATGCATTTTTACTCTTTAACAGTGATCAGTGAAGCCAGAGACACAGAGCTGGAACACATAGTTGTGATTACCACATAGTATAAATTCTGTGTTCTAAAGCACAGATGCACAAGATAAAGCCAGAACAGGGCATACAGTAGATTTAACAGAATGAAAATGAGAGGTTACAGGAAGTTTCTTACCTTGAAGGAGAGGCAGTTGGACTTCCAAACTCATTTGCCAGCTGGAAAGAAAAACAAAAGAAAAATGCATTCAGAAGTTAAGGAATCCTTTCTGTTCATACACAAAATCCAGGGCCTTGCATAGTAGACTTTACCCACAGATGGCAATGGAGAAATACAGAATCAATATTTGGGTCCTTCCTCCCTCCCTTCCTCCCTCTCTTTTATCACCCATGAAACTCACCTGTGACAGGTCAGGGTTTAGCATGCTGTAGGGTCGTTGACGAGATGCACTGATACGGGGTGAAGGGCCATACCGTAAATCATCCCCCCCATCAGGTCCAGCAGGTGGAGATCCAGCTCGATCCAAATTTCCTGTGCTGCTGCTGTTCATCTTGCTAAGAGGGAAGCCACTAGTAAGAGAGAAAGGTGAACATTGGTGGGAATTTCTACCCAATGCCAGTATGTTTGGGGCAATAATTCACACTGGTTCCTGAAGGAGATCTAAAGGCTAGTTCCAAGCCTTCCAGGTATATCCCATTAACCCCACTCTTCTTTTTTTCGGGAACCTGAATGTCAAGGCATATACCTCCTCTAAATTAGGGAAAGGAAGCTTTTGCATCTTCTGGAGCAACTCATAAAGCAGGTTTTGGATTGATCCCACAACTAATGGGAGGATCACATGGACTGTGACAGCAAAGGGATAGCATAGCTTGTTCCCATGAAGACCACTTGGAATCTTCAGCTGGTCCAGAATGTGGCAGTGCAAGGAATTATGGGTATGCTGTGGTATTTCCATGTAACAGCTCTGGTTCACAAGCTGCACGGGTTACCAGTAGGTTTCTGGGTGCAATTCAAGGTATAGGTTATCACCTACAAAGCTCTATGAGGCATAGGGCCTAGTTAGTTGAGGGACCATCTCTTTTCTGTTGTTTCTGCCCATCTTGTAAGATTAGTCAGCATGCTTTGGATTCCATCTATTAAAAAAATATCATTTGATGGAATCCAGAAGTCATGTCTTCTTTGTCGCAGCACTTGCACTCTGGAATAACATCTCCCCGAGATTTGAATGGCCCAACTCTGCCTGTCCTTTAAATGAGCCTTGAAGATCTGGCTCTTTCCCCAGCTTTGGGATAGGGTGGGATGCAGGTTTCTTCTGTGGGAGATTTTAATGTCTGATCCACCAGGATGGCTATCTTATTTTTTGGCTGCCTACTGTTATTCTATATCTGAAAAATAAATTAATCAATTAAAGAAGTCTTCCCCTAAACTTGGCACCCTTCAGATGCACTGGACTACCAGGTCCCATTGGCTTACTGGTGGGGTGTGATTCAATATATCTGGAACGCAACTATTTGGGAAAGTCTGGTTTAACTTCAGAAGCTATTGGAATACTTGAGATAATTCCAGAAGTGTAAACAGCCCTTCCTCTCCTCCACAATTTGTTTTCTTTCTAAATTACAAGACTCAGGCGCCATGACTTACCTGCTGAGTAGTTTGCTAGCTCCCTCGGCTGAGGGAAAGGGCCGAGTATAGGAAAAAGGAAACCAACCTTTCCTGAAAGAGTGTGGGAAACAGATATTTAAGACAGGAAGAAGAATAGCACAAAACCTCTTTTTCTTCTCTCTCCTCATCTGAAGGAGGGGAGTGTCAAATTAGACCCAGTGTTAAGATAAAAAAATGGGTAGATGTAATAAAGGTGGAAACCTAGAATTCAGGTGTTCTTTGTAAACACAGATCTTCTACTTCCACCCTGCCTGAATATTCATGGAGGCAAATTAAGTATGGTATAGTGGTCAGAATCTTGGACTAGGAGCAAAGAGAACTAGATTCCAAACCCTGCTCCACCTTGGACTTCACAAAGTAATTTGGGGCTAGTTGCTATCTTTCAGCCTAAACTATCTCAGAGGGGTTTATCATAAATAAATGGGTTTGGGCAGATTGGATTTATGGATAGGATAATGCCAAGCCATAATCCATGGTTTAGAAACCACAACAGCAGAGTTGCCATAGCCTGCTCAGCCCAAACCAAAGCACATTTTGGCTTTGAGCAATGTGTGAACTCAGTCAGTGTGCAATCCCTTTGGCCTTTTGATTTGTTTTAGCCAGTACCGCCCACGGTGGTTGGTGGTCTTTCCTATCTCCAGCTGCTACCTGGAATCTTTTAGCTGGAGAGAGATACCTCTGTTCCAACCTGATGGAACCCTCCCTCTTAGCAGGGAACCCTTTTATCTAAATGTCATGAACCACATATTTGAGTTGCATCCCTGTAAATTGAGATAAATTGCCTGGAGGGACCCATCCTATGAATGCGAAAGAGAATAGTAATCTAGCTTTTCTAGGGCAAAAGGAATAGAGAGGTTTTCACTCACATTCTGGTTGTCTCGTTTTCTCCATAATGCCAGCCATCCCTTGCCTCAGTCACCAATAAAAGGATGATGTCTCCCTCTTGGAAGTTGAGAAGGGTGCTGTTTTCTCCTGCTGCATGTGAGAAGACTGCCTGGACTCTCGGGCGCTCAGAACGTGGAGGCAGGACTGAAAGAGGATTAATGCGGGGCAGGGTCTTGTTCTCTACTGCGAGAGAGAGTGGGGAGAGCAGGGTGAAATTAATGGAATTCCTGGGAGATTGGTCATGTTTCTCTCCTGCTGTTTTCTGCTTAGGCAAAGTAAACCCTAGAGCAGTGTTGTCCAAACTTGGCCACTTTAAGATGAGTGGACTTCAACTCCCAGAATTCCCCAGCCAGCTCTAGGATTAAACTCCTAGAATGTCCAGCCAGAATTCTGGAAGGTACAATCTCAGGGTATTGGTAAAGCACCAGATTGCTGAAGGTTGCTATAAAATAAATGGGTGATTCTATAGAGATCCTGTATGTGTGATATAGATCTCTTAAACTAGCCTGTTTGCAGAATTTGCTTCAGCAAGCCTTGGCCTTGTATTTTGTAATATTTCTCTCTCTGCTTCCAGATCAAAATTTGGCTGGATAGAATCAGCTTGAGACTGAGTTTTGGAAGAATATTTGGGGGGTTAATTAACTGTTAATGATTGCATCTTATTTTTGTTTCATTTTATTGGGGAAATGACCCACGGTTGCATCTCCATGTAAGAGTAACTCCATATGGACTCTTGCATTTCCCTCACAGAAAGTGCTGGATTTCTCTTTACATTTTGCATCTTTTCAACCAGTATCCTCAGTTCCAGAAATGGCACAATAATGAAAAAGAGGTTTTATTGTTCTTCTTGCAAAGAATAGCATTTGCCTTTTTCCGACATTCCAGATCAGAATTTAGCAAGAACAGGATGGATCAGATGTCAACATTCTGGAACAATCACTGAAGGGTATAAAAGTGGGCTAAAAGAGGGTGGGATCAGATTAGAATGAATGCAGAGTACCCACCCAGTGTTGCCAAGCGAGTTTCCATTGACATCTTGCGTGGCATTGGCAGAGTGCAAGAATAGCTGTCCACAGTCTTGGTCTGTGGAGGGCTCTGAGTGAGCTGGGTGGGGGGCAGACCTGAAGCGATGGGGATAGGCTCGCTGACTGGCAGGTGACTGAAGTCCCGCGATCCCCGCCCACGGTGCAAATCACCATTTGGCAGTGGTGTTCCTTCCTGGGCTGAAGCCCGCTGTGGGAGATAGGTTATAGGAAAGAATAAAAGCAAGGCGCCAATGAGATATCATACAGGTTCTCAGAAGCGTCCCTTACTCCTTTTTTTTAATTCTGTAGAAGAAATGCATCCTCCATGATGTGAATTAAAGGCCAGGATATCCCTCCCCATTCCTGCTACATGCCGTATCAGAAGCTGCTGTTCAGAGACATAATCAGTTTTTGGAAACTCGAACCCAGAAGGTGAGGGCAAAGGGAAAAGCAAGGGGTGAACATCCTGTTTACCAGCTCTGACCCACAAACACTCACATGATTTTGTCCCAATTCTAAAGGCTCTTCCAGGGTCTTGGAGCTGGGAAGGGGATCCATGGCTGGAACAGGAATTCCACCCGTGGTGTTATTGGCTGTGAGCTTGACCAGAGCCAGTGCCCGCTCAGGTAAACGGGTAGGTTGGGTGCACGATGTTTGCCAGATGGGCAGTCTGGCTGCCAACAGCTCCCGCACCTGTTGCAAGTGAGATCATAGTGGTTTAGTTTCTTTTAGCTAGCCAGGTTATACCCTTTCTCTCTCAAACTTGCCAACGTTAGAAAATCCATTGAGTTTGTTCATTAGCAATTGCTTCCTAGTTGGAGGAAACAGGATGTTGTTCTGGTCCCTGCTTGCCTTTGATTCCAAGCGTTCCCATGAAGCTTAGCTGCACAGTCATAAGGGCTGGAAACTTAGAACAAGGAGTTGTAATGCTAGTGTGTCCCTGCATTTAACATCCAGCCGACATAGATGCTTGTGAGACACATCAAGTATGGAAAGGGAATTTTAATTTATTGATTAAGCAGATTTGCTGGGCTCCTGAGGAAAACTCTCCTCTGAAGCTGGTGAGTGTTTTGAGAAGGAATCCTTCATTTGTTTATTTGTGTTAATGGACAATTTCCTTCCAAGCAACAGGAGCTCCAAGGGAGGATTTTTCTTCAGAATTTCAGAAAGCAGGAAAAATTAAGCCTGATGCAGTCTTAGTAACTATCAACACCCCTAGCAGAATGGATCTGTATTTTAAAAAGCCATTCATGTTGAATGAACAGATGCCCTTAATACCACATCTAATTTCTTCTTCTTTACTTTAAAGAAAGTTAACATTTATTTCTCACCATTCCCCCTAGAAGTTCAAGCAGGAATATGTGTTTTCTGTTCTCCCTCTGGGAGTCAAGAAGACATCCAGGAGTCTCATGTTGCCTTCCCCATTACTTTACTCCAGTGTTGTCCAAACTTGGTCACTTTAAGATGAGTGGACTTCAACTCCCAGAATTCCCCAGCCAGCCATGCT